TACATTCATAAGGTTTCTCTCCAGTATGAATTCTCTGATGCACGGTAAGCTCTGACTTCCATATGAAGGCCTTTCCACATTCACTACATTTATAAGGTTTCTCTCCTGTATGAATTTTTTGATGTCTAATAAGATTTGAGTTGGTGAGAAAAGTCTTCCCACATTCCTTACATTCATAAAGAATATCTTTAGTATGAATTCTCTGATGCACAGTATGATGTGACTTCCTCCTGAAGGCCTTTCCACATTCCCTACATTCATAAGGTTTCTCTCCAGTATGAATTCTCTGATGGAGTATAAGTTGTGACTTCCACATGAAGGCCTTCCCACATTCACTACATTCATAAGGTTTCTCACCAGTATGAATTCTCTGATGCATGTTAAGATATACCTTCTTCCTGAATACCTTTCCACATTGACTACATTCATAAGGTTTCTCTCCAGTATGAATTCTCTGATGCACAGTAAGCCCTGACTTACTCCAAAAGGCACTCCCACACACACTACATTTATAAGGTTTCTCTCCAGTATGAATTCTCTGATGCAGAGCAAGATGGTTCTTGCTCCTAAAGGCCTTCCCACATTCACTACATTCAAGAGGTTTATTTCCAGTAAATTCTCTGCTCTCTGAAAGGAAGAATACAAATTTGATTAACCCTACTTTTTTTATTCTTTCCCAAAGTTCTTAGTTTCTCAAAGGTTTTAGAGCTATTCTCTTGCCTTCTCACTTGAGATGACTGGCCTCACTACGTCTTTCACTAAGGCTCAATTTATCTTATGTGAAAGTATGATGACTCAAAGGTAACATGTAAATGAATTGACGTAGGATGAAATTACCAAGGGGGAATGAATGAACCCTTATTCTACTTTCATTGGCTGACATTTGAATGGAAAAGACTATTTAGAAAAAAACAGATGACTCTGAAAACTTGAAAATGCATCCTTACCATCTGAGGTAAAAATAGGAAGGGAAAAGACTAAACAGAAAGAAACAGAGAATTGAGGTTAGAGTGAGGAGGAAAAATAGATACATGAAATAAACAGAATAAAGAAGGAATATGAGGGGGGAAAATGTGAGAACTGTTGCCATAAATTTCCTCTAAAAATCCAACATGTCTACTTTCTAAAGAATTGATTGAAATTCGTAAGAGTAAGAGATATAGGTATTTTTGACAAGAGAAATTATTAATAATTACCTGAAACATTTCTCAGACTCTGGTAATCAAAGAAGTAAAAATGAAAACATTTTGGAAGTAGCAATAAATAGCCATCAAATTAGCAAAGAAACTTTAAAATGATAAATTTTGGCAATTATGTGGAAATAGCTACTTTTTAAGCTGCTGCTGCTGCTATTTTTCTGAAAAGGAACAGTAATTTCAGCTAGAGCTACAAAACTTTTCATATCCTCTGACCCAATGGTCCTACTACTTGGTCTACATCCTCAAAATGTTACTGAAAGCAAACAAAATACTCTCTGTAAAATTTTCACAACAGCTTTTTGTGAAATAGCACAATAATGAAAATCTGTATCTAATGATGAGGTTATGGCTAAAAAAGTCCTGTCTCATGAACATATTAATTTACATTTATAAGCATAATTTCAAAGCATAAAGAAAAACAAGATGACACATAACGATAGACTGAAGAAAGTAGAATTCGGTTAGGATTAAATATTTTAAAAAGTAACAACAGCAAAGCAACATAATCAAAAAAACAAAACAGAAGAAAATATCAGAAGAGAACTCAGAAGTGAAGAGCATGTTACTTAATATAAGTAACATGCTTATTTTTAAAAGGGAAAATTAATTCATGCAAGTGAGACAGGAGAATGCCTGCTTAAGAGAAGATAATCCTCAATGAATAGAAGAGAAATAACTGTCCTATACTAAGGCAACAACTTCCTTTGAGAGTAGAGGTACACTTCAGTAAACAGACATAAAAAAGTAATTTTTTGAGTTAAAAAATGAAATTTTAAATTCTCAGCTCCCTTCAACAGGCCTGAGAAGCTTTGAGAGGCCACTATGTTCAACATTTTACAAGAGCATTGACCTAAAATGACCAACAGATCACTACTTTGCCATGACCCATCTGAGTGATTTTTATGTAGTCACCTGGACAGCTGTTTCTTGGAATATCTGCCTCTGGCATCCAAGATGCTTCCTTTCTCTCCAACTGGTAGATCACATCTGGTTTGGAAACTGCAAATCCTGTTCATTGAAAATGAATATGTTCTAGGCAGTCACCTCAGAGTTTCAACATAAAACAGATAGATGAAATATTCCTAACTCTTTGTGGAAAGGTGGGGGAATAAAGGTGCTGAATGTATCCTATACCATAAAGCTCATTTTGTCTAAGTTTTGTTTTTTTTTCCCAACCATGGGGCATTCAATGGGCTGGTTAGAGGGAGAAGTAAGGTTTTTTCCCTTTTTTTTTTTTAGGTGGCAGGGGGAGGAGAAATTACATTTTTTTTTAAAGTATCTACAAAACTTAAAAGAATTCAAATGGAGTTCAAGCCCTCTTTGGACAAAAAGTAGGCATGCTAGGAAGACAAGGATAGTACAAAGGACCAGCAAAGGATATTCTATATTATGGTCGAATGGATTACTGAGTAGGACTTAAGAAAAAATAGTTCATCTGACTCACTCCCTGCTTAGACAGTGGGAACAATGTGTATGATGAACCTACACTGGGATTAAAAAGAATATCTTGCATTTGAAGCAACAGAGACAGAAAAATTCATTCTCATGGTTAACAACAAATCAAGAAATCAATTTCCAGGCATACTAAGCAAAGACCTTTTTCCTGGAAACAGGTGGCACAAGTAATATCTCTTGCTACAAAAGGATTAGGAATGTTTTCCTTTTGTATGCCAAAGAATAACTGTTAAAATCTTGAAAATTGCCACAGTATATATCAACACTCCAAAGGGGTAGCTGTTCTTACCCAAAGAGACCAAGCTCTTATACTTCTCCAGCATCACATCCCTGTACAACTTTTTCTGAGATCGGTTCAATTGTACCCACTCCTCCCGAGTGAATTCCACAGCCACATCCTTGAATGTCACTGATTCCTGAAACATCAGAAACACTTGTGCTTACTCAGCTATAACTGTTATGAAGTTCAAGTGTAATCTGCTTGCCAGCAAGGTGACGGAATTGAGGGCATTAGGACAGCAAATGGTACAGGAAATTAAGGCAACTGAGTCAACCACACTGACTCCATTTTGTCACTCAATTCTGGAGGTAGCTCAGTTCTTTTTTTGTTCAATTATAGGTCTAGTCCAACTTCTATCTTGTGGGAAAAATTTATTCAATCATGGGAATTGAGAGAAAATGTTATCGCACTGTTTGAACCAAGCCCTAAGTGACTGGGAAACTAGACCATCTCTACCTGTTTAGAGATCGTTAGCTAAGGACCAAGGTTATTCTGACCAGAAACCCAGTCAGATTCAAAAAGACTGATGTAAGGAGTTTTCTCCCAATTGTACATCTCAAGCAACTCATATGTCTTATCTGCAAACTGGCCCCATACTGGTCAATTAGTTATTGTTTCCATGTTCCTTTGATTATATACAGACACTTCGAGGGACGGACACCGTTTTTTCTGAATTCAGGGAACTGAACCTGTTGCGTTCCCCCCCCCAACATGGAAAGTCCTTAATCTTTCTTCCAATTGGAAATCAGATTACCTAATATTGTATTATTTGCTTTTAATTAATTGGTCTTGTTTGATTGTTTTTTTAATTTTTTTTAACTTTATTAATTTATTTTGATTTATCAACAATCACTTCCATAAGCTTTTGAGTTTTAAATTTTTCTCCCCCTCCCTCCCCAAAATGGCACGCAATCTGATATAAGCTATACATATACATTCCTATTAAACATATTTTCACATTAGTGATGTTGTAAGTAAGAATGAGAACCACCAGAAAGAGGAAACAAAACACAACAGAAGAAAAAAAATAGCAAATAGTATGCTTCAATCTGCATTCAAACTCCATAGTTCTTTCTTTGGATCTGGATAGCATTTTCCCTCATGAGACCCTTGGAGATACCTTAAATCCTTGAATTACTGAGAAGGGTTAAGTCTATCAATATTAGTCACCATACCACGTGGCTGTTACTGTGTACAACGTTCTCCTGGTTCTGTTCGTTTCACTCAGCATCAGACCGTACAAGTCTTACCAGGTTTTTCTGAAGTCTGCCTGCTCATTATTTCTTATAGCACAATAGTATTCCATTACATTCATATACCACAACTTGTTCAGTCATTCCCCAATTGATGGGCATCCTTTAAATTTCCAATTCTTTGCCACCACAAAAAGAGCCGCTATAAATATTTTTGTACATGTGGGTCTTTTTTCCATTTTTATGATCTCTTTGGGATACAGCCCTAGAAGTGCTATTGCTGGATCAAAGGGTGTTTGATTGTTTTTAATGTATAAAAGAATATCTCCCCCTATATTCAGGGTCCAGCCCTAAGTTGAAGAAGGGGTCTGGTTCATTTGTTGTACAATTGTCATGCATTGCTTAATAAACTGACATGCCCAAAATATTAAACTTCTGTTTCCTCAGTCATTTCATCTTTCACTTGCCACAAGGAATCATTTCATTTATTTATGTGTTCCCAGTAGAGTGTCTGGTATTAGGTTGCTTTGCAACACAACCTCATTTGCTGCAGCTTAATTTAGTTTTGGTTCGGATTGGTTCAGCAAAGAAACAGAATCTCATGTTTTCTTTACTATTTATTATATACTATATAATAGTATATAATAATAGTATATATAATAAAAATAGTATGTATTTATTATATACTATTTATTACTATTAAAATAGTAACAAAGGTAAGTAAATGATAGTATAAGTCTCAGTAAGTAAGCAATAATATTTTAAGTCTCAGTAGTTAACATAAGTCTCAATCAATAAGTCACAATCAGTATCAAATCTTACCACAATTGATCCTGACCATCAGGGGTGTCATCTACATCTGAATCATGCAGCTAGGGAGTCCCGGGATCAGCATCCAGAGTCCCAAGGGGAATGTCCCAGGCTATGTGACATGTCCATACCACAGGGGAAACTCCAAAGATGGCTCAGGACTACCTGTCTTTTTAGTTATTCCTTCTAACAAAGCAGGCAGTTTGCCAAATAAATGCATGATGGGTGGGAAAGAAGCTGCTCTCAAAACATCCTAGAGAACATTCTGTTTATGAATATTCAGTTCCTAGAGGGGTAGCCAGCTCTTCCTGGGAGCGAATACCATAAACAGTCCTTCAATGTCTAGCTAGGAATAAGTAACATGAAAATGAGTCAGAGTCAAATTGCAGGTATACTGAGCAAGGTGAGAATGTCTTTTTTAATTCATTCATTACAGGTATGTAGCAGGCACTTAAGATTTCCTCTCCCAGAAAGAACTGATAAATAAAAATATGCATAAAATAATTTTACACACACACACACACACACACACACACACACACACACATCTAATGGTAGCCATCCCTAGGAGGGGAGAGAAGGTAAAAAAAAGAAATTTACATGATAATTTTATTATATATTTAAAAGAAATAGCAAGTTGTACATAATGGACTTGCAGTTTCATATACAATCATCCTTTTTATATGTTTTGGGAATGCTTGTTTTCTTACATAAATTAAAAATTAAGTAAGAATTTTTATAGAAGAATTCCTCTCTGATTAGTTTGTAAGCTCCTTAAGTGCAGAAGCCATTATTGCCACCCTTAGTATTCTCAGCAATTAGCACAGTGTCTGGCACTTTGTAGGTGCTTAATAAATGCTTATTATGTAAATGGTTCCAATGACATAAATTTGAAATGTGTAGGCATTTTTTTTTAACAATACACACCCATGGCTCTTACTTCTGCCCTCTGAACTAAAGCAGTTATATGGCTAATTCCTTTTCTACTTGCTGAAATAAAACAATGAAAATGAAATAGCTGAAGATAGCTATCAGCCTGATTTAAGGCAGTTATACCTTCCTCTTTCCATCTAATCACTGTGCTTCTTAAAAATGCACTGCTCTAAATTGGTGCTGAAACCATAAGAGCAAAGCATTGAGGACTACAATCTCCCATCTATAACAGTATATGAACAATTTTTTACTGTTGAAAAGGGTGCTAACGGACCACTACTTTCCAGTTCATATATTTAGAGCTGGAAGAGATGTGGCTAAGCAATGAAACACATTACACACTCCTATCAGAACAGCTGGATCCTGTCTGTCTCATTTTACTTCCAGTATCTACTTCCCGTTGACAATTTCTGGTTTCCTAGTTTAAAGTTCATCATTCTTCAATACATTATTCAACTATAAATGGGTGAAACGAAGGACTGTACTTGGAGAAGAGGGAAGGGGAAGCAAAATAGGGTAAATTACATCACATGGAGAGGCACAAAAGACTTATTACAGTAGAGGAGGGGTGGGGAACCTGCAGCCCCAAGGCCACATGTGGGCCTCTAGGTCCTCAAGCGCAGCTCTTTATAGCCTCAAGTGCACAGATTTAACTGAATCCAAACTTCACAGAAGAAATCCTCTTAATAATCGGTTCTGTAAAACATGGACTCAGTCAAAAGACCATACCCATGTACCTAGAAGGCCAAATGTGGCCTGGAGGCCACAGGTTCCCCAACCCTGAAGTAGAGGGGGTGTGGGACTGAACATTGTTTGTACCTTACCTTCAATGGATTTGGTTCAAAGACGGAATAACATACGCACTCAGTTGGGTATAGAAATTTATCTTACCCTACAGGGAAGTAAGAGGAGAAAGGGGAAAGAAAATGGAGGGGAGTGGATAGAAGGAAGAGTAGTAGTAGGGTAAAGGGGAAAGAAAAGGGAGGAAGGCTGATAGAAGGGAGGACAGACTGAAGGAGGTTGTGTTCAGAAGCAAAACACTGGTAAGGAGGGACAGAGTCAAGGGAGAGAGAAAATAAACAGGGGAGGAAAATAAGATGGAGCGAAACACACAGTTAGTAAACATAACTATGAATGTGAATGGGCTGAACTCTCCCATAAAACAGAAGTGAATATCAGAGTGTATTAAAAACAAGAATCCTACAATATATTCTTTACAAGAAATACATCTGAAGCAAAGAGATAACACAGAGTATAGGTAAAAGGCTGGAGCTAAATATATTATGCTTCAGCTGAAGTAAAAAAAAGTGTTAACAATCCTGATCTCAAAGCAAAAGCAAAAATAGATCTAACTAAAAAGATAAGGAAGGAAATGACATCTTCCTAAAAGGTTCCATAGACAATGAAGTTGTATCAGTATTAAATATATATACCCCAAGTTGTATGGTTGTCTACATTGTTGTATGGCACCAAATTCTTAGAGGAGAAGTTAAGTGAGTTACAGAAAGAAAGAGAAAGCAAAATTGTATTAGTGGGGGATGGATCTCAACCTCCCCATCTCAGAACTAGATAAATCAAACCACAAAATAAACAAGAAAGAAGTTAAGTAGGTGAATACAATTTAGAAAAGTTAGCTATGGTAGCCCTCTGAAGGAAACTGAATCGGGAAAGAAAGCAATATTCCTTTTTCTCAGCAGTACATGGCACCTACACAAAAAGTGACCAAAAACTTCACAATCCAATGCAGAAAGGCAGAAATATTAAATGCATCCTTTTCACATCATGATGCAATAAAAATTAAGACCATGGAAAGAGAGACTAAAAATTAATTGGAAACTAAATAATCTAATCCTAAAGAACAAGTGGGTCAAACAACAAATCAGAGAAACAATCAATAATTTCATCAAAGAGAACAACAATAATGAGACATTACACCAAAACAGGATGCACCCAAAGCTGTTCTCAGGGGAAATTTTTTATCTCTAAATGCTTACACGAATAAAATAGAGAAAGAAAAGATCAATTTATGGGACATGCAACTGAAAAAGCTAGAAAAAGAACAAATTAAAAATCCCCAATTAAATATCAAATTAGAAATTCTGAAAATCAAAAGAGATTAATAAAATCAAAATTTTTTTAAAAAACACTATATTAATAATTAGTTTTATGAAAAAACTAATAAAATAGATAAACCTTTGGT